TAGGCCCAGAAATTGCTTTTTTTGAAGTTTTATTTATTCATTTATTTATTTATTTAGATTAGCCCTGAGCTAATATCTGCTGCCAATGCTCCTCTCTTTTGCTGAGGAAGACTGGCCCTGAGCCAACATCTGTGCCCATCCTCCTCCACTTTACGTGTGGGATGCCCACCACAGCGTGGCTTGACAAGCAGTGCCATGTCCGCACCCGGGATCCCAACTGATGTTTTAAAATTATAAATTACATTCCCTTTACAGTTATAGGGTTGTTCATATTACTATTTCATATTGGTGTGTTGTGGGTATTTTTCAAGGAATCGGTCTATTTCATCTAAGTTGTCAAATTTATGAGTATAGAGTTGTTCATAGTATTTCCTTATTATCTTTTTAACATCTGCAGGGTCTGTGATAACATCCTCTGTTTCATTCCTGATATTGGTCATTTGAGACTTCTTTCTTTTTTTCTTAGTCAGTTTTGCTAGAGGTTTGTCAGCTTTCTTGATTCTTTCAAAGAACCGGCTTTCTGTTTCATTCATTTTCCATGTCTTTTTTTGTTTCAATTTCATTTATTTCTGCTCTTATCTTTATTTCTTCCCTTCTGCTTGCTTTGGGTTTATTCTGCTGTTCTTCTTTTAGGTTCTTGAGATAGGAGCCTAGATTATTGATCTGAGATTTTCCTCTTTTCTATGGTACACATTTAGTGCTACAAATTTCCCTCTCAGCACTGCTTTACCTGTGTCCCACACATTTTGACATGTCATATTTTCATTTTCACTCAGTTAAATAAATGTATTTTTTGATTTCTTTTGAGATTTCCTCTTTGACTTGTGGATTATTTAGAAGTTTGTTGTTTTGTTCCAAGTGTTTGGCCATTTTCCTGTTATCTTTCTGGTTTTGATTTCTAGTTTGATTTCATTGTAGTTGGAGAAGACACTCTGTATGATTTCAATTCTTTTAAATTTGTCAAGATCTGTTTTATGAACCAGGATGTGGTCTCTCTTGGTATATCCATGGGCTTTGAAAAGATTGGGCCTTCTTCTGTTCTTGGATGGAGTGTCCCATAGATGTCAATTACATCTTGTTGATTGATGGTGTTGTTGATCTTTGCTGATTTATTGTCTAGTTCTTCCATGAATTGTTAACAGAGGGGTGTTGAAGTCTTCAACTATAATTGTATCTTTGCCTATTTCTCTGTTTAGTTCTATCAGCCTGTCTTTTACATTTTTCCAGCTTTGCTGTTTGGTGTACATACATTGGTCTTCTGGGTACACTGACCATTTTAGCCTTATATAATGTCCCTTCCCATCTCTGGTAATCTTCCTTGCTCTGAAGTCCACTTTGTCTAATATTAGTGTAACTACTCTTGCTTTGTTTTCAACAATGTTTCCATGATATATCTTTTTTCCATCTTTTTACTTTTAACCTGCCTATATTATATTTGATATAGGACCCCAAATGTAAATAAGTGATAATGTGAGGCTTAGCAGGATGGTCCCACAGCTTAGAAATATTCTCTGGCTCCAAGTGTGGTCCTGGAACAGGAAAGAGCTGAATGGAGGGACCAAATGTTAGGGTAGGTGTTTAGGGTAGTGACCATCCCATCTATGGACATGTTGTGTACTGCAGCCTGTAGCTGTAGGTGGCAGCTCTGGGAAGGGACAATAGAAACCTCTGTGGACAGATGAGTATAAACCAAAGGACCTCCTCCTACTCCCTGCCATTACCACCTACCTGTGACCTGGCATGGCGTATGCTCTTGGAACTTTGATCCTACCCAAGGGAGCGGGGGAAAAACCTTAAGAAAGACTGAAGACTTGAAAGTGAAATAAAATGATGTGTTGATCTGGGGCCTGTTTTCCCCGGGATTCACATTCTGTGCCCTTCCCCTATTTGCCCCTGTGTTACAGGGGGGCTGACCCCTGTAGCCTGTTTCCCTGGCTCTCATGGCAGCTGGTGTCTAGGTTTGGCTAAATGGAAGGCACTGGCAGGATATTGGAGGGCAGGGGGAGAGGAGAATCTCTGGTACATTTTCCCTGCCATAGATGGCTTCTTTGGCAGTGGCTGTCTCTCCTCTGGCAGCAGCTCCTACCTGGCTGGCCAGGCTCCCGGCGCCTGGGCTCCAGTAACCCTGCTGCCTTCTTCATTTCTCCAGCTAGAGGCTGCGCTTGCTAATTTCTGGATTACCTCACCAACCCTTGTTTAGCTTCTGAGTTCTTCTATTACCTGTGTTACCAATTCCTCGCATTCAATTATCTCTGTCAGTAAATATTTGAAGGTTTCCTGTTTAGACTCTGCCTGAAACAAGTGGGTTTAGAGAAAAGAAGGCAATGTGGTATTTCTTGCACACCTGGCTTTGTAGTTTCTGTTTTATGTCCACTGTGTTGGCAAATTTATCTATTGTGTTCTCTCAAGATGGCTGTTTGCTAGGTGACACTATTTACGTCAATGTATAATCTTCCCAGACAACTGCCATTTTAAAGTGATTTTTTTTTTGAAAGGATACCTTGAGGCAAAGATGTAACTTACAAGGGGCGTTTGAGATGGGGTGTCTGACTCTCTAGGTTCAGAAGGCCTTTCCGACCACAAGGTCTAGTCTCCCTTTGTGCCTAATTCTTTATAAGCATGCTGTTTTTCTTTTTATCTTTCTTTCTTTCTTTTTTTTTTTTTTTTTTTTAGGAAGATTTGCCCTGAGCTAACATCTGCTGCCAGTCCTCCTCTTTTTGCTGAGGAAGACTGGTCCTGAGCTAACATCCATGCCCATCTTCCTCTACTTTATATGTGGGATGCCTGCCACAGTATGGCTTGCCAAGCGGTGCCTGGGTCTGCACCCGGGATCCCGGCCAGCCAACCCTGGGCCGCTGAAGCAGAATGTGCGAACTTAACCAGTGTGCCACCAGGCTGGCCCCAGCACGCTGTTTTTCTTTATAGCTTGAATAGATCTTTATAGAACACAAAAAAGCTCTGGGAAGGGCTTCTGCATTACTTCCATGCCTCCATACTCCCCTCAGCCACAGCCCTTGTGAGCCACAACTAATCTGAATTAAGACAATACCCAGTCAGAGTCTTTAAGTGGCAGAGACATATCACTGAGGGGCCACACATAAAGCTATTATCAGCCATTAACTGCCTGGTGAATTGGTTTATTAGGTGTTCTTTGTGACACTCTAGAACTGCCTGAAGTTTTGATTGGGTGAGCAGTTAGGGCTAGGATGGGAGCAGGAGCACCACCCATGGAGGAAGGCAGTTTGGAGACAAGTCCCTCTCAGGAGGGTTAGGCTCGGGCCTAATAAACTTAAAGCCAAATCAGAACTTTATTGCTTTTGGCCAAAGAACATTGTCAAACTTTCAGAGCAAAGGGCAAGTACAAGGCATTCTTCGGAAAAGGTTATAAGATTTCAGACAGGACACAATGAAAGCAAGTTTCTGAATATAAAATATACAGTGTTTTGGAGGTGGTTTTATGAAATGATCATCAGAACAATACACTACTGTGTCAAGCAGATTATAGTCTGAAATAACTTTCAGTGTGTTCTCTTAAAGTACTGATGCAAAAAAAAAAAAAGTCCATCCATTTATTTATCCAACACATACTATGTTGTGCCAGGTTCTGTATTTGAGAAGTTACATACATATCTATGTTGGAAATAAAGTAATTTATATTTTTAAAATTGTTCTTTAGAGAATGTTAGTCAAAATTTCCGTCTCCCTCGCCCTTCCCATTTTATTTTAGGGCGCATAGAGATAGCATAAAACGTTTTCTAGCTGAGCAGCCTCTGGGCATCACTCTGTTGAAATAGAGGTATTCAGATTTATTTGCCTTTATATTATCAGGTGCATATATAGCTTTTGGAACAAGTTTGAATCAAGATTTGTTTAAATTTGTATTAATTTACACCAAATATATGACTTTTATATTCAGATAAAGCATTTTGATTAAATAAAAAAAAAGAACAATAAGAACAAGCTCTCTTGGCTTGAGAGTGGTACCTAAATTAGCAACATTATGAACAACTCGGGGGTTCCATGGCCTGGGTTCAAACCCAGCTCAGCCACTAACCAGATGTTTGACCTCGAGGAAGTTACTTAAACTTTCTGCATCTTTAAAATGTGGATGGTAATTAGTCACTCCCTTACAGAACTGTTGAGAGGTGTAAATGTGGAAATGCATGTAAAAAGGCCTGGCACACAGTGAGAGCTAAATAAATGTCAGTAAATATTCTTATCGCTGAATTTATTAACCAGTTTGGCAGAGGACATGTACATGAATTGAAAATAGAAAATCTTGATCAAAGAAAAGAATTTCTTACGAGAATAGAAAAGATCAAGTTTGAAGACTCAAAAATACCTAAGCCAATCAGAATATGAATCTGACTTTTGCCCTCCCCCCCACATTCACTAGATATTTAGCAGTTTTCTAAAACCCTGTAATTTGTCATGTCATGAGCTTCTGGTCTTCTCTCCTTCTGCTCCTTGCTGAGTCCTTTAAGCAAAGACTCACAAATGACAAACGTCACCACACCACTTAGTTAACTGATGAGACCTGAGTGTTGCCAAGCTTTCGAGTTGGAGCTGCTCAGTCGGAGTGCGGGGTTTGGATGGGGAAGGGGTGTTAGGACTCCTCCTCCCCTCCTCCTTGGTCAGCACCCCCTCACCCCCGCCCTCGCCAACTTCTTCAGGCCTCTTAGCGCCTTTCCCTCGCAGGTCCGCCCTTCTCCGGGTGTCGGAGCCGGGCGCAGGAGGCGGGCCCAGCGCTGACGGGCGGGCTGCGCCTCCGCAGCCGGGGGGCGGAGGCGGGCGGGCGGAGGAGGAGGAGGAGGCGGGGCCTGCGCCGGGCGGCAGCTGGCGCCGAGCGCGGTGGGAGAGGAGAGGGTACCCGCTGGTGGCCTCTGCCCAGACCTCCGCGCCGCAGCCCTGCGCCTCTCCCGCCCTTGTCTCCGGCTCCGCAGCCCCAGAACGGCGGAGGCGGCGGAGCTGTGGGCCACCGGTAGGTTGCACGGGGACTGCGGTTCCGTCTGCAACCTTTTGTGCTGCAGGCAAGGTGCTGGTGATGGGTGGGTGGGTTGGGAGGGTGCCCCAGTCACCGATCCTCGGTGCCAGCCCCCGTTGCGGCGCCGCCCCTTCCTCCCTGCCTCGTGTCGGGACCGGGCGCGCGGTGCCCGCGCGGTGCTGGGGAACCCCGGCCGGGTGGGCCTCCGGGATGGGCGGCGAGGCGGCCCCAGCAGCCCCCAACCTCGGCGGGCTGGTGCTCGGGCACCCGAGTAGGGGGACCGGGGGCCGGTGAACTGGGTGGGGCCCTTGCGGGGTGCTGGGATCCCGCGGTTCCTTGGCACAGGGGTGGGGCCGGAGACGCCGTGAGTGTGCAGCGCGTGTGAGTGAGTGTGCGGGGGCGTGCGCCCCCGTGTGCGCGCGGCGTGCGCTCGCCGGGAGGTGCGGGCGCCTGGCGGCCCGGAGCGCCTCTCCCGCGCTGCAGCGGCGCGGAAGTCGGGGCGCGTTGGCGCGCACGCTCGCTCTGCCGCCGTGCCCGCTCCGCGGGGCGGCGGGCAGGGGCCCCGCCGGGAAGCAGCTGCTTCCCGGGTCTGCTGTGCCCCTCGACGCGCGCGCCGGCTGCGGCTGCCCGGGCCAGATAGCGCCTCGGGGCAGCCCTGGCGGCCTTATCTCGCCGGCCCTTCTCACCCGCGCGGCGATCCGGGGGCGAGGCCGCCGCGAGCCCGCAGCCCGCTGCTCGTGTACCGATGCGGCGGGGGCAGCCGGCCGGCCGTGGCCGGGGGCGCGCGTGGGCACTGGGGCCGGGCGCTGGCCAGGAGCGAAAGCGGCAGATGCCCTTGGGCATCGCCGCCCTCGCCCCACCTGTCGCGGGTGGACTTCGGGGCGGGTGGGAAGCGGAGAAAAGGGGTTTCCAGGCGGGCGGCCGTCAGACCTTGAGCAGGCGGCCCCATTGTGAAGCTGCCAAACTCTCTCTAGTGGTGGAATCTGCAAATCTCTGCCAGAAAGGAGATGGGAACTCGAAGGGAATGATGGCCCCGTCCTTTTCCCCTTGCAAGTGTTCCACATCCTTAGGGTCTCTCTGCCTCTCCACCCAGGCGACTTTGCACCCGGGGAGGTTAGTGATTTCTGTCGAGCCAAGATGCTGAGTGTGTATGTGAATGGCTGTGGTGCACAGGTAAAACTGGGCCTGGGAACTTTAAATTCATTTGAGAGAGAGGAAGAATGGAGGCAGTAGCGTTTTATAAGGTGCTTGCTACTTCTACTCGAAAGAACAATTCTTGCACAACGTTTCTGACGTTACTGGACTTTTCATTTTACATTGTTTTTCTCACATGAGCCGCCCTACAATTTAGAGTTGTTAGTTGCGTTGTTTATTTAACCCTGTCGAGCAGGTTAGACACTAGAGAGAGAGAAATGACCTCTTCCCAAAGTTTATTTTCCTGGTCATTTCAAAATACAGTATTGGGCATTATTGTGGAAGCTTCTGGTACTTTATTAATTCAAGACCACGATTTATGCTTACACAATGATCTTTAATGAATGTTTCACAGATTTCTCAGCATTTTCCTTACGTAACTGTGTATGCATTATAAACTTAATAAAATGGCTAGGATGAAATATAAGGATTAGTGATATAAGATGGCTAGGATATTTATGGACCTTACATAATGGTCAGTGAATTTGTTTACTTATAATTTTGTATACTTTAAGAGCTATTGTACACATTAACCCTTAAAAGTATTTAGTGTGATGGGAGTAATAAAGCTTCATATACAGAATTTAAATTTTCTTCACTGATTCACGGAGGATTCTGGGGGGAAATTGGCTCTTTTCTTCCAGAGAGAATTCTGATTTCATCACTAGCCTTTCAAAGGAAGTTCCTGGTTCTAAGCTGGAAGGTTAGCCATTTCCACTGTGTGCACCTCTCCCGTTTCGTTATGCTTCCTGAGGGACAAGTTTCTTGTAAAGACTGAATGTAGATTTTCAGTTCTAGTTACTGTCAGTCATATTTGTAGTGAAACGGAATTTTTTTCTAAAAGTAGAAGGATGACTTCACGTAATGATAAGAAGACATTGGTTTTTCTAGCCCTAATTTCTCCTTGCAGAAATAGAAACTAAATGCTGCACTTTGAGGGGGTTGCTATTAAAAGAACTGATATTAGAAAGAGAAACACATTTCTGTCTAACTGACCCTGTTAGGGGTTGTCTTACTGCTTGGCCAGGTGAATGATTTGTTTGTAAGGTCAAGGATGGTTTCAGAAAAGTCACACCTTACTTAACACCTCTTCTAAAAATTACTGGTGATTTAGTTTTTACTGGTCGAAAATGGAAAAGTAAGATTATTTAAGGTAACCTCTAAGGTGGCATGTAGGTGCAGCTGAGGATTCTGTTTCCCTTGTGTGTATTGTACTTTGGCACTTAAACCCCTTCATTTCTGCTCAGTGTTGTGTTCCTGAGAGATGTTTTGATCGTTCCCTTTTTTGCTTGTTTTCAGAGTAATCTTTAAGACTAGTGGTTGCCAAATATTTTCATTAGTCTGAATGGAACTGTTAACTATTTTTTTCCCCAATGCTTTTTATTATTGGTCTCTCCTCAGATAGCCACTCTGAGAAATACTACATTTCCATTTTTTTTTCCTTCGTGTTTTGGGAGCTAGTATTAGAACCTGTAACTACTACTCTACCAATTTTCTTTGCCTAAATTTATCTTGCTTTCCATAATAATAATCTTTAATGGTTAGTGGGATTTATTTACCAAAATTTGCCCAGGCTGTGTGCTGGCCTTTGTATTTATAACCCTGTGATTTGGAAGTGATTGTTAAATTTTTTCATATTGCTATTTTGTTAGTGGATCTGTGCTGAAGCCTGAGACTTGTGGCTTTTTTTGTGTAGGGATTTTGTGTGGGTCTGAACATTTCCATGTGGAGCTTTCTACATTTTGGGCAAAACCACTCCCTTCTCTGGGTTCCCAGTGACATTCAGGTTTATATTTCCACGTCTGTCTGTCTTCCCCTCCTGCCTGGTCTCAGGCTTCACTTTTTGTACTTGCTCTGGTGCCTGTACAATGCTGGGACATGATAAGACTCATGAAACATTGTTGAATGAGGAAATGAAAAATTGAATGGCTGAGTGGATACACCCAAAGAAACAGTCCTCAGATCTGTATGGGAAGCCACTACCTAAGCAGAAGGGTGTGCCTTTCTTTCTCTTTAAATTTGTTGCCTTCCCATTGTTACATATGACATTTGAGTAGGATAACAACATAATTGCCAAACTGGGACACTTTTTCCAGATTAAGAGGGTGCTGTAAATAATTATGTCAGGGCATGGCTATGAACTGAGACATATGGTCACCTTACTTTTGAAGGACATTCTTCTTTATTTACTTGTGCTATCTGTCACCTTGCCTGAGAAATTTGACACACTTGCTAGTTAATGTTTGCAAACTTTCTATTTGTAGAATCTTCATTTGCAGTCAAATGCTGAGTGTCTTCTGCTTAGTCACCCATGGTTTCCTTATGCAGAGGCCTGTGGGCAGCTCTTGGCCATGCTTTATTTTTCCTATTTTCATTGCTTACAGGGTAATGTCACAGGACTTTCTGGTTGTTTCAGCTGCTTGTAGCTGGAAGCATTATATACTCTAGCCTTTGCTCTGTTTAATTCCGTCTGTTTTTCTATGCAACATTTAGTCCATCTTGTAAGAATTTCGCTGGAATTCTTTTCCTTCTTGCTGACTGACCTTTTTTGAGAGGAGATCCATTGATATCTTGCCAAGCCTTCATGTTCAAAATATTGGCCAGAATCAATTGCAAGTGTTAGAGATTTATTGATTTCTAAAGTATTTTAAAAATGTTATTTGGAAGGTATATATTTTGGGGACTTTGATATAACCATCTTTCGTGGGAGATGCAGGCAAAGCCTTTAGTATAAGTTTTTGCTAGATTCCTTTATAGGCAGTCTCTTAAAGAAGTATATTCTTGTACTCGTTTCTGGCCTTGTTCTTTTTATTTTTTAATTTTTCCTCTTTTTCACCATCTTGTCCTCGTCATCCTCTTCTGAGCACCTGTGCACAGATAGTGTGCAATTACACACAAAGCAGGAGGCAGAGGCAGAAATGAGTAAACAGTGAGAAATGGAAGGCGCTCTGCACCTTGGTTTCGCCCTGTGTCTCGCTCCCCTGGACTCTGTGTTTGTATTCTATTTTTAGCTTGGCACTGGCATAATAGGGATAATCAGTTACTACACTTTGTTTACTATGAAATTACCAACCATTTCCTAGACTTCCACAGCAGCTCCTGTGCAGGAGGTGGATAATTGCTTTAAGGCTCCTCTGCTTTCAAATCCAGAATGAAGTTTTAGATTGATTTTTCTTTTGGGATTGAAGGGAGTGTTGGAAAACATATCTTTCCAATGCATTTAAAGCTTGAAAAGACTCTATCACCAAATACATGATGCAAATTATAGGAAAGTTTGAATGAGACGTTAGATTGTTTTTGAAAACTATTCTTTTTTTAGAATTAGAACAGATTCATATTTTTCCAGTGTTCCTGCTTCTGGGTTTTCAATCTAAATTTCTAAAACTCTAAATGAAATCTCTCTCACTTTGGGATAGATGTAGCCCTGAAAAATGAAGTGGAAATATTTATCTGTATTTGCCATCCAGTCATATAACCAGCAAGTATTGGTTGGTATATTTTTTTCCTGCCTTAGAATTTGTGATTAAAAAAAAATCCTGTAAGCTTTTAGGAGAAAGAGTTAATGATCTAGAATGATTTTGTATAAGACTCTCTACTATAGGCCTTGGAATCCTAACATTTTTCAAACTGGAAATAACCCTAGAGCTAGTGGTTAAAATTACCTTCCTCCAGCCATTTCACAATTGGGGCAATAAAGCTTTTAAATAAAGTGCCTCCCCACACATTTAAAATAGGATTCCATTTACAGTAGTTAATTAATATACATTTTTTAGGAACATGATTATTGTGTAAAAAGCTACACACCCCGGCTTATCACTGAACACAGGCTGCGCGCGTGTCTAAAGCAACATCAGTGGGCCTTGGACTCAGATGGATTGGGGTTCAGATTCCTGCTGTGACTCTCAGATGGTATTACTTGATCGAATACTTTAAAACGAGGATAGTATTTTCCTCATGGAGTAGATGTTAAGATTAAATGATATAACTTTCATACAGCTTTTGGCGTATAGAACATGCTAAAAAATATTAGTTTTTTTTCCCCTCTTCCCCCATTAAAAAGCCACTTACTTAAATAAGAAATCCGTTTGAACTTTACAACATTGGTATTGGGGAAATTCTTTGGGATTAATTATAAATAAAAATGTTTATTGTTAGATCATTTTTGTTCCGTTACAGTTCACTTTATGTTAAAACCAGAGGCTTCATTGGTGGAGTGGAAGCAAGTCTTCATTATCTAGGTTTCTTGGTTACCCAATATGAAAATAATTGGTGGCAAAAGAAATGAAAGGGAGCATGTCTGTTATCTAAATCTAAAGAAGTTCCAAAGGCTGATAAACATGTTTATGTTGGGAGTGACAGTTCTTGGTGGGTTAACTCCTTCAAGTTTCTCAGGCTGAGGAGGCAAATATCTTTAATTTACTAATTATCCCTTTCCTTTGGATGAAACTCTCTGCCCTGGTAAGGAAAGTAAAAAGTGACAAACTCCTTACCTTTCCCTTGCTGTTTGTATTCTGTTAGAGGACTTGTTGGCCTGTTGCCACTTCCTCAGGCTCTGTGAACCCGTGTAGGTAAAATGAATCACTCAGCTCCTTTGAGGCCCCCCCACCTAAGTTGAACACAACATCAGGAAACCCAACAACCAAAGAAAGCTTTACAGGTGGAAAGGACTTTGGGGAGTTTTCTTGGTCTCAAGAAATTAACGTAGTTAACTGGGGAGGTAGAAGATAAAGAGATATTCTCTTACACGTTACCTCCCCAGGTAAGAGAGGAAGGCACAGACAACATGCTGGAAACCTTAAGCAATCTGATAATGCTAAAGAAGTGTTTTTCAAGTTGTTCTCTTAAAAAAATGTTTTCCAAGAGCCTTCTGATCATTTGCCTCAGAGCGGTCTTAGGAGGGATTTTTATTGTTGCTATTTTAGGGCTAAAATCAGTAGACATCAAAAATTAATTACACAACAACAACATCACGCTCTTCTAAAGGGCTTTGCAGGATGCAAGACACGTTCCTCTACCTTATCTCATTTTATCCACATAACAACTGTATGAGGGAGGAACGATGGTATTGTGCTCATTTTAAAGATTGCTATTTATGCAAGGTCAAGAGGCAGAGTTCTTAGCTGGGGGCTAGGACCTGTTCTTTTAACCCCAGCCTCAGCGATCTATTTTCCCTAGGATACGTGAGTAGGAGTAGGGTGGCGGAACCAATATTTAAACCCCTAATTTTTCTTGTCTCTTTATTTAGCCCAGTGAAGCTACTCTTAGTCTCCAGGTAGAGTTTGAGCAACAGAACACAGAGGGACAAGCATGATAAAGTATTTCAGGTTTCATTTAGCTCAACAAACTCAAAATTACTTTAATTAAGTTAATTAATATTGAATTCTATACCTCCTGTACCTGATGTTAGTACGTCCTGCTAGTTTCATCCTGTTTTGCAGCTAGAATTGGTATAATTGCTTTATAACTTGTGTTACTTGTTAAATTAAAGGTTTATTTTTATATTTCATGTTTAGTATCTGGAGTAGAGCAGAAAAATTATTATGCCTCTGTTCTCTTGGGACTCATTGGAAATTGTACAGTGACGTCTTCTGGGATCTAGTCTGGTGAGTTATCTCTTTCTTTTTCTGTTTGTTAACTACTTGTATGAACATAATATCATAATGTGTATTAAGGACTGCATGAGCAGATGAATGTAAAGTGTCATTATATTATTGCAAATATGTATACTACAATTACGAATTTTTTAATGGTGAGAACTGAAACTGTTGTTGCAAAACGCTAACATGATTATATTTGAAATGTTTGACTTGTTGATTCAGTAGGTTTTCTCTGTATTCCTCTAAGTTCAAGGAGATCTTTGGAATAATATTTCAAAATATAGTAGTTAAGAGGTAGTTGCTCTGATTTCAGGGATTTTTAGTAAAAACATTAAGCTCCAAAGATTGGCAAAATAATTTGCAAAAATTTCTAGTTGTGTTTTACCATGCATAAAGAATGGCAAACTGATGACTAAAAGGAGCATCATTGTCACTTAGTCGTGTAGCAGTTCATTGTAAGTGTGACATTCCTTTTCTCACACCATGAATTTAAACTGTTAAAAATATACACTTCCTTTAGTTGTCTTTTGTCAGTGTGTCATCTGTGTATCTGTGCTGTCACACTTGTCCATGTGGCTCCAAGTCTTTGAAGGGGAAAAAATTTTAATAATGATCTTTGTAGCTCTTTAGCATTTTAAAAGCTAGATTAGTGTGAATTCATGCTTTGGTGTGTCATTCTCCTTGGCCACTATCTTTGTAGGTCTTTGCTTTGAATTATGTAGAGAGGTCATAATCCTTGGAAAAAGCAGTTTCATAATAAGTGATTTCCAAATCAGCAGTCAGCAGAAGAATGATTCAAAGGAATGATGGGTAAAAACAAACGCTTTATCTTGTTAGGCAGATTTTGCTTATCAGATTTTTGAAAACGCATTTTAAAAACATTGAGAAAATAGAAACAGTTCTAAAGTTTTCAGTTTTGAGGAAAAGAGCAAGAAGTTTGAAAACCTGAAGTACAAAGTGCTTTTAGAGGATATTGAATGAGAAATAATGTGGATGAGTCATTAATTTATCCAGTTGAAGTAAAGCACACAAAAAAATGAGTAGAAGCTACAGGAATGTGTGTGTATCCATATCTCTCTGCCTGTATGTGTGTAAGTGTACATGTGTATGTCTACATGTGTGTGTATACATAGTTACAGATATAGTTATATATGTAAATAAAAGGACATTGTAGCAGAGCTGTAGAAAGTGAAGTGAACCAATTTGAGAGGTAGTTATCTGTCACTGAAGGTGTTCAAACATAGGTAGGACAGCCTAAAAATTAATATTCCTTCTGATTCTAAGATTGTACAATTTGAAGAATTTTGAAATTTGGAGGACCATCAAAAACTTGGAAATATATGACAAGTTTCTTTTATTTTTAAAGTCAGGTTTATTGAAGTATAATTTATATGCAGTAAAAGTCACCCTTTCAAGGTACATAGTTTGATGAGTTTTGACAAGTGTAGTATCCATTTGTGGATGGAGTGTAGTTAGCACTATGGTCAATATATAGAATATTTTCTTCACTCCCCAAATTTTCTTGTGCCTCTTTGTAGTCTGTTCCTCCCAACCCCAGCCTCTGGCAGTCATTGATTGATTTCTGTCTCGATAGTTTTGCGTTTTCCAGCATGTGTCATATGTGGAATCACACGTATGTAGCATTTTCTGTCTGATTCTTTCATTTAGTGCAATCCTAGGTTGCTCCTTTTCATTGCTGAGTGGTATTCCATCGTATAGGTGGAACACAATTTCTTTAGCCATTTTCTGTTGGTGAACGTTTGGACTGTTGCCAGTTTTTGATGATTATGAATCAAACTGTTATAAACCTTCACGTCTTTGTGTGAAGTATGTTTTCAGTTTCTTAGGTAAATACCTACTAGTAGGGTAGGTGGGTTATTTAATAAGCATTTGTTTAACTTTATAAGAAATTGCCAAACTGTTTCCCAAAGACTATACCTGACAACGGCTTCTAAGAAGCTCAAAGAACTATACCAAAGTGTGTGCAGATGGAGAAGCCTAGTTCTCATTCAGCACAGATTGATTTTTATTTTATATCCAGGTTTAACAAGTTTGGTTAGTATCTATTTTAAGCTCACAATGGATTAGAAATAGTACATTAGAAGGCCTTAGGGATAGGTTGTTAGCAATTGGAAGCAGCCAAAAATGATATCCGCTAATATGGCTATAATTACTGATTTAAAAAAAAAGGAGCAACTTACAGGAGTGAAATTCTTGTGTCTGATAACTTCTGTCTGGCAAGTGCCCAAACATGTTTGCATATTGGAATCACCTGGGGATCTTCTAAAAATTTCAGAGCCCAGGCCATACCCTAGATGAGTTACATCACAAATCTGGGGTAGAGCATAGACGTTGGTATTTTTTTGAAGCTCCTGGATGATGTCAATGTATAGACACGTTTGGGAACCACGGGCTAGAAGCACAGCATGATGAAATCGAAGGAGCCCTGGACTTGGAGCCAGGCCACCTGGACCTGCCGGCATGGCTCTGGGCAGGCCCCTGCCTTCGTGGCCTAAGTGTCCTCTTCTCTATAATCAGAGCTTCCGGGTAGGTGAACTCCAAGATGATTCTGACTTAAAACTAGATGGTTCTAGATATCGCTAGACCAATAATAGGATAATAGTCATGCTTAGGAGAGTCCATTTCCGAAGAAATGGCTGTATTCTGAATGGTTCATTTCAGGTAGCTCTTGAAAAGGATTTTGTTCACATGATGACATTTTTGTTCTATATATTTAGACATTTATGTTATAGCTGGTTTCTCTTAAATGGCATTGCTGTGTGTTGCTAAAAACAGTTCAAGCATATGGAGCAGTTTCTTGATTACTGAGGGTGACTTTTTTAGATAAGCCCAATTAAAAAAAAATTCCCAGAATGCAGTAGTTCTCAAGAAGAATTCTTTGTATAGCAGTTGTGAAACTTAGCTATTTTCAGAGCTGGTCTAAGGAGCTAAGGCTTCTCGGCTGTATTTTTAAAATGTTGCTCCTTGTGCCAAATGTAGAGGAAATTTGGCCTCTGGGAGAGTGTTCAAAGCTGAGTAGATCCCACACAGGTCACCGTCTTTTGAATGTGCTCATCTTGGCAGGTTCCCCCACGTGTGTTGTGGTTTGGACCTGTTTGCTTTCATTTCAGCCAAAATTCACAAATGCATGCTGTATGCAGTGTTTTTAAAATGTGCGCTGTGTACATTTTCTAGTAAATGTTAAAGTGTTACCTTATCTAGTGTGGTCTAGTTTTGAATCCTCATACATTTCAAAGAAATATGGTGGCACCTATGAACATTGTCAGGTTTTGTATGTTTTATAAATATGCTTCAGTGCCGTTGTTGCTGACTGGATTGTGAGAGAATTTGAGACTGAAGATCCTTAGGTGTTATTTAAAAGATTATATTTGGGCTAGCCCGGGTGGCATAGTGGTTAAGTTCAGGGTGCTCTGCTTCAGCAGCCTGGGTTCAGTTCCCAGGCACGGACCTTCATTGTTCTGTTAGTGGCCGTGCTGTGCTGGTGGCCCACATACTAAAAAATTGAGGAAGATTGGCACAGATATTAGCTCAGGGCAAATATTCCTCAGCAAAAAGTAAAATAAAATCAAATCTGTATATGTGTGTGTGTGTGTATATATATATATATATATATATATATATGTATATATTCCTCATTCTTGTCTGGGAAACTCAGGTTTAAAAGGATTGTTCAACTACAAGTTGACCTTTCTATTGTTGCATTTTCTGTTCTAAACTCTACTATCTAGAGAAATTTTGCTACTTCTGTTATTAGAACATTTTTTATGTTTTCTGTTTCTAGTCTTTATTTTGCTTTAAACTGTAATATGAAAGGCATTGATGGAAACAATAAAGGTATTGTTGGTCTCTGATTTTTAGTGCTCTGCAGTGCAGAAGTTAGCATTGGACTTGATTTCTTGGTTCATGGTTTATTCTTTTTGATGCAGTGGGAGTGGTGCCTGTTGCACATACCTGCAATATTTATGAGCGTGCTTTGTAATCATTTATCTTGGCAGTATGCTTTTTGATGCAAATTTTATTTTAGAATATGAAACAAAATGCTGAATCATGAATAAGCTTTAAAAATAACAAACCCATAAGCAGATTTTTCATGGTAAAATATGAATAATATACTGCTGAACACAGGCCACCTCGGGTTGTAGTCACGCTAGCCAAGTTTCCTGATAAATGCCTTTTAACGAGAAATGTTGCAGTGCAGAATGTTGGACATGCGTATATCAAGATATGTTAAATTTGAGACTGTTCAGTCTTTGTTGTCTTGGGTGTCACCCTCTTTTGCTAGAATTCCGGAGTTAGAAAGTGCCTAGACTTCTTCCTCAGATGGGCCAGTACCTACACCCCTGCTGCCTGTGTGAAAGGTAACCTGAGAAAGGTGACCTGTGACTGCTCTCAGGTTCTTGCTCCAGTATTTAAATCCAGTCAGGAAATTCTCAGGAATTTAATAGCATAAAAAGTTTTGTCTTTGGTCACATTGAAGAATGGAAAGTATGCTGCTTAGTCAGCATTCCACCCAGCTAAAAAGGAAATATTTGCCAATCAGTGCTCTCGTTTCTGAAACCCAGCCTCCACCTAAGCTTTCTTAGTGCCACACAGTAGATGTTCTTTAGAAGGACAATATATAAGTAAGAAGGATCCTTAAAAACAAAAATCTAAGCAATTCGCAAGGGTCCTAGTTGCACTGTTCACATTCCTGCGGGAATATCAAGCTCCGGAGATGTTTTTGTACGTACGGCAATACACCGCAGACAGCAATGAAACCGCCTAAAAGAGCGGTTAGTTTTGAGAATATGCTATTGTTTGGAGCAGAAGTACTGATGATTTATAGCTAAAAAGTGCGAACAGTTTTCCAGCCTTTAGAATTGCTCATCAGCAGTTCAGCAGGTTGCAGCTATACATGTAATATTTAAAATGAGCCTTTTGGGTAGTGAACATGATGTCATCTACACAGAAATGGAAATATAGTGATGTACACCTGAAATTTATAT